TGCAACTCCAAGTGTGATTTGGCCTTCCTGATTTCACTCCTGCATGCTCGGGCAATAGTTTTATACTCCTCCCTGGTCATTTGTCCACTTCTTATAAGCTGCTTTTTTGTGTCTAAGATCACCTTTAAGGTTGAGCGGCTAACGAAGCTGTGACATCATTCCAAAGAGCTAGTCTAGCAGAAGGCTGGCGGGCAGCCAGCATCACAGGGCTCTTAGACACCACAGCACCAGGGTGATCCTGGGAATTCCACCCTGGCAGTGAGCCCAGTGGGCGGAGCGGAGAAGAACCTCACTGTACCAAGCTGGGTTTAACAGTTGTAGCTTTATTCATTTCCAGAGCCCTAGAGTGCGAAGAACTGGTTACAGGAGGGGATGGTGCAGCAGCATGCGCTCGTACCAACAGACCCAAAGCTCCTCCGCGCACTCACCCACTAGCCAGGGGGAACTCAGCTCCCGGCCCCCTGCACTGATGTGACAACCACAGCACCTGGGGGGAGTGACAGCAGCAGCTGGTGGGACGGGCTTTGAACTCACCCCACTGCGGGTATCTGTAGTGTTCAGAGCGGGAGCCCCAGGGGCTCCCTTTCCCCTCTGGCATGACCCCTTCATCCAGTGACAGGAGCTAGACGCACAGCCCGACCGCCTGGCCAGCAGCCCAAACCCCTCAGCACCGAGCAGGGCAGAACGGGGGCATCTCTGGCTGGGTTTCTCTTGTTGATCAGTTAGTCTGAGCTGGGCGGGGTTCCAATGCCGCTCCCAGCCTCAGTGCAGGGCCAAGCCCCTGGCTCCCTGCCACTCCAACCCCGCCTGGAGAACGGTGGTGCTCCCTACAGAGCCTGCCCCGGGGGGTTTGCCAGGGGCTGAGCAGGCAGAGCCCGCCCCGGGGAGTTTGCCAGGGGCTGAGCGGGCAGAGCCCGCCCCGGGGGGTTTGCCAGGGGCTGAGCGGGCAGAGCCCGCCCCGGGGGGTTTGCCAGGGGCTGAGCGGATCAGGAGCCGTGAGCTCCTGGGCCAGGTCGGGTGCCGTTCGGACAAGGAGCTGCTGGGTGGGTGTTGGAAGAGTTTTCACTGGTGAGTGTAATGTATACAATCAGGCCCGGCCCCTGACACCTCAGTCCCCCCCCCCCCAGGGGAAAGGCAGCTCTCGGATGCACCAGGAGAGCAGGGAGGAGGAAAGGCAGCCGGAGATGCAGGCAGGAGCGAACACACATGCACACACAGCTATGCCAAGGTCCCCCTCGGCGGGGCAGAAGGGTGAGTTGTTTCGTTAGCTGGAACCTGGTGCTCCAGGCGGGGGCGCTCTGCTGGGGTCTGCTGCACGCACAGGCTAGCAAGTCCCTGCCAAGAAGGGGCTTGGAGAAGAGACTCAGCAACGGGTTGGGGAGAGGGGCTGTGCAAGGAACATCAGTCTCTGTGGGGGGCGGGGGGTCCCTTAGGAGATGAGGCGGCCGTGCAGCTCACACAGCTGCTCCGGCGTCAGGACGAGCTTGTGCACTTGGCCATGCCCAGGCTGGCAGGGGAAGGTCACTTTGCCAACGTACACGGTGTCTTCCTTCTTCTCCTCTTTGGCCTGGAAGAGCAGAGCGGAGGGTCAGGGGCAGCAGGACTCAGGCTGATAAAAGCCACCCCGAGCGCCAGGAGGGTACCACTGCGTTATCTCCTAGGGGCCAGCTCCAGAGGGTGTCACCCGAGGGGGGTTTCACACACCCCAGGGCCCGGTCGCCTTTCCATGGACCCATGGAGCTCCATTCAGCCCAGAGCCACGCCCCATGGGGATGGCGTGTGCTACGCCCCAGGAACAGCGACCAGCTCCCCCAGCTACAGGTACTGGGACCCTGCGGCCCCCCGACTGCTAATCCAAATCCTCCAGATTGTGGCAAGGGAGCTCCGGCGCGCAGGCCACGGGAACTCAGCGCAGACCCTTCTGGGGCTTGGCGAGGACACCTGCCTGGCCACGTGCGCCCTCGGCCGTCGCCCCAGAGCTCCAGCATCCCGGGGCTGTGGGGAACGCTCCCAGGAGAGCAGCGTCTCACCTTGAGGAAGGCTGAGGATGGGAAGGTGGCGAAGTCAGTGAGGACATTGGCCCCAGGGTGCTGCAGGACCGTCTCCTTCATCACTTCATCCTGCAAGGGAGGAAAGGGGAGCAGGGCAGCATCATGCACCCGGCAGGGGACCCGGCACCCAGGTGTGGGGTGGGGAGCTCCCTGCCTCTCCTGCCAGGGGCTCCAGCCATCACCCAGGAAGGGTGGGAGGACGGGGATGGCTAACCCTGCCTCGCCCAGGGTAAATGACAAGGTGTCTAAGCGGCTCCACAGATGGAGTTCCCCCCCCCCCCCCCCGACACCTGAGTATGCAGCATGCCCGAGGCAGCGTGTGCACTGAGCACATGGACATTTTTTGGAGGGGGGGGGGAGACGTGGCTATCTGGGGTTGTAGCCGCTTTATTCACAGGTCTAAGGAAATATTTGTTCACATCAAAAAAGCACCACACGTGTAAGTCTCCCTTTAGATAGCAGGGGGCTGCGGGTCGGGAGTGAGGGGCACTGGCAGAGCTGTGGGGGGAGCCCAGGGCTGGGCTGG